CCCCAGCGGGGACCAAAGGCGCGGGTCGCCCCGCGCAGCGCGCCTGCCGGCCCGGCAGGACCCCGGGGCCTGCCCCCGCTCCTCCGCACCTACCATCCCCGGCGGAGAATGGCTTCCCCCGCCTGGACCTCACGGGGTGGGAGCGGGCATCTGCCCGCAGGAGGATGCTCGGGAGGCGGCTGTCAGTTTTGCACAGACCTCCCGCCTGCCACAAAGGGGAGAACGCGTGGGTTGCGCGGCGTGTCGGACGAACCGGAAGCAGTATCCGGGCCAGGATCTGCGTTTCTTTCATCATAAAAACCGGAGATGGCTGGACTCCTGCCCAGCTTGCTTTCTTCCCCTCCCGTTTATCTTCAGTAAGCATCTGGCCCTTAACACCTGAGCACTCCGCGGTTGGCAGCATTTGTTCTCCCAGCAACCCCCTCAAACAGGCTGATACACTGCTACCCCACTTGGCAGACGGGATCCGAGACGCACCAATTGATTTTTCCCAGCGTTGCACCCACAGAAACCCACGGACAGGGCTGAGCACGGGCCTGCCAATCCCTCGGTTAGACAAGAGGGCTGTACCGATGCTCCAGTGCTCGTGACACAGGTCAAACCAGCTCAGGCAAGTTGCCCCTCTGATGTCTCTCTTCGTGACACCTGGTCCTCAAGAGACTCCCCAGGCTTTTGCAGCAGAAAAGCCAAATTATGATGCAGTAACACCTTGCAGCCCCTTGTGTTCTCCTTTGCATCAAATATGCCCAGTTATAATTTACACTCAACAACAACAACAAAAAAAAAAAGCCACCCAACACCTAGTGGTTTTTCGTCATGGGCTTCTGCTACAGCACTGCTCTCCAGGCAGCCCGTGCTGACCCACGCCGCTCTTCAGTTTCCCAATTTCACCGCTGCAAACTGACCTCTGGCTCCCTCCCTCCCTTCCTCTTTCTCTCCTAATGCAGTAGAAGGCCAGCAGGAGCGCGCATCCCAGCCCTGTTCGCTCCTCCGGCGTGAAAAGCCTGAGGTCAAGACACCGGCAAGCCCTTGCATCCCACCAGAGCACGGAGGCAGAGAGCCATGGGCCAGCCGCCCCGCGCAACCCAACACTCAACCGTGGTGTGGGGTCCTCTGGGAAAGGGCCAGCCGCCACGGCTGTGGCCCACAGGGCTCCCAGTCACCGTCCACGTTTTTCTCAATTACTTCATCCTCTCCGCTAACTTGTATCTTACGATACTACAGGTTTACAGGCCATATTGTAAAACCAGGGAAAGTATTGGATTTTTTTCATTCTCCCCTACTACAAACCTGAGATTCTGGAGCGTGATGCTGGGTCAAGTGTAAATTCCATTTCAAAGCACCCGAAAACACAGTGACCTCTTTATACCTTTGCCATGACAAAGCACCAGGTTTCAGCAACTCATTCACCAGACCTCTGCAAATCACTCAGGATAATCTCTTTATTCTCTCCACTTAACTGCTGCATGCACCCAGTCTCCTCTGTGTCACAGAGTGGCAACTTCTTGTCCCAGATCTCGGGCAAGATGTCTCTTCAGGACAAAGAAACATCATGCTACCATCATCCCACTGCTGTTCACCACGATAGCATCATTTCTAATCCATTTTGGCCTTTGCCTTGGGAACCTCTATAAATATTTGCCATCAAAAAGAATCCTCTAAGGAAAAAAGAGGTGCCCAACCGCACGCTGAACCCTCACTTGCACTGCCTCCCACCAGCCAGTTGGTACAACTGCTTTGCTCATGTGCCAGCAGAGTGGGAATTCCCTTCAGTGTGATCTACTGCTGGTCTCCCTCTTTCATCTCCATTGTAGGCCAGAAAGCATCTCCTCCCCCCTGCTTGGAATATATCCACCTTTGCTCCTGTTTAGCGAAAGAAAAGCCCCAATTTCCAATGAATGTGCTCGGGCAACAAGAAATGCAGGTCTGCAGGAGCTCTGATAGCCGTGAAAACATCTGAAATGAACATCTGATACGCAGTCTCAAAAGCTTCAACAATACCATGGAAAACATGATCAGACTTGATAACACCTGAGGTCTTTCTTGTCTTGGGCTCTACTGGAGCCCACAAAGCAACACCTGATAATGAACAAGACTAAGAAAATTAATTGGCGAATCTGTGCAACTCGCCTTCCCTCACTGAGGGCTGGGGGTTCAGATGTCTCATAGCCAAGTGAAATAAGTTTGGTGGGCGTCCACCTAGCTTCTCCTACATGCAAGTCATGGAAGCACTGCCCAATTTACCATCACTGTTTGCCACCCTCTACTGAGGAGAATCAAAGTCTCAAACTGCAGATCATGCTGCTGAAAACAACAGAGAAGCACGAGTAGCGCTGAAGGCTGGAAGCCTGAGGAACACACAGCTCAGAGCCATGAGATCATCCCTCCCTACTTACTGCATTTATTCAAAAAGCAACATACTCAGAACGCTCTAGATACCAATACGTATGAGTTCTCATTATTTCCTCCTGCATCACAGGCACATATGCGTTGCAACTTCATTACCGTGCTGTAGAAGTAACATTCTGAAATAACTATGGGCAAATTTAACTAGTCTGCCTCTGCAGTGCCAGGGCACAGCTCATCATCCTTACCACGCCAGGCAAAGCTCATTGCTCCCACCTGAGCACGTCTGCACTGCTTTTATGTTCTCTTCTTTGTTCACCCAGATGTACGTGATGGTTTTTGGTTGGCTCCCATCATTCAAATCCTAATGGAAAATAAGCTGGAGAAGGACGTTTAAGCAGCAGGCGACGGGTCAAGGCCACTGAAATTATACTGGTGAGAGCACAGATGAAGAACTGACCTCTAGTTTGTCTAAGTGGTCTACACGTACACTGACAAACGCCTGGGTTAGTTTAACACTCACAGGACTAGTAGAAATGGAGAGAGAGGAGAAAGCCACAAGTACGGTGCTTTCAGCAAGGTTCAGGGTTTGTCTTCTCTTGCTATGCCCATAATTCCCCTTTGCTGCTAAGGTGGAAAGAAAGCACAGCCTTGGATTTTAACATCCCATTACCTGCATTTCTGTGCTGGCTCAAGTTTAGATAGAGCAAACCTGCCAGCTGGATCAATGCCAGAGGGAAGGAAAAAAAAAGTTTGAAGTGCAAAGAACCAATTTATCAGGAACAAATCTTAACAACCAAAAGACACGCTTCTGCTGGTGGATTCTATTCATGTGCGTAATAAAAACCGCGGTACAAGGTAACCTAACAAAATACTCTTTAGTGGCTATCTGAAGTATCTTGGGGTAGATAATCTTCAACTGCCAGTCTACATTTCACGTTTTCTGGATAAATTTGGTGCCTGTGAGGACAAGGAATGCTGACACTGAATAGCCAAGGACTGTGCAGAGAACATCATCTTTCACTTGGCTCTGAAAGTATTTGAGCCTGACCCACGGCCTCTGGCTTCTCCAAGACTCCACACACCGGGCCAGCAAATCTCACGTGTGCTCCAAATATAGCCCCCTCCCCCAGCAGAGGCTGCAATACAGGCTTCGCCCTGCCCTGAGCGCTGCTCTCAAACCCACCCATTCCTATCACCCTACACATCCTCGCTGGACCTCCAAAAGCAAAACGGTGACGACCGAGACTTTGTCCGAGGTTTTGTGGGTGGTTTCAGAGGAGGGAGGAGGAAAATAGGCGAGGAGACGGTCCCGGTGGATCGCCATCCTTGTGGGACGGACTGCAGTCACACGTACAAGTCACATGCACGGGGACAATGCAGTAAGGCATGCAACAACAGACTAGTTTGCAGAGCACAGCATTGCTGTCAGCTCAACCCCCCTACAAAAAAAAAAAAAAAAAAAAAAAAAAAGAAAAAACCATCCACTCCCATCACCAAGGAATGCGGGGACAATGCAGTAAGGCATGCAACAACAGACAATTTGCAAAACCAAACAATGCCTGCAACCCAACCCCCCCAAAAAAAAAAAAAAAAAAAGAAAATTAAGCAAAAAGCCAAAAATGCAAACCAAAACACACAAGTCTCAAACAACACAGACCTTGGAGTTAAAGTGTCAAATGGTACCGCTCGCATGCAGGAGCCTCAAAGCCCTCTGCAGAGCCTCTGGGCTGCCAAGGCCTGGGACGCACCAAGCCAAGGAGCCCAGCATGGAAGCAGTGTCCTTCTACAAAACCAGCACATAAGCTCCAGTTTTGCCCAAAGAACATATAGAGCAAACACCAACACTCTATAAAGTCGCCACTGTCCTCTTGCTTACCTGGACGACTGGGTATTGGTAATCCATACAATACACACCATACATAGCCAAAGATCCTCCAGCTAAAGGCCAAATGGACACAGGACTGGAAGCTTCAAACCCGAGTCTCCTTCTTTCAGCCTTGTGGGAAGGACTCTGGCAGCCCTGCGCAGTGCTTGGCTCGGGCCTCTGGGGCCACTCAGGTTGACACTAGCTCAGCTGAAAATAAAAAGGAGCTGCCTGGCTCGGCTCGGCTCAGCCCCTCTCTTCTGGGATCCAGCAAGGCAGCGCACAACCATAGGCAGCAGAGGTTCCTAAAATTAGAAATCCCCTACTGAAAACAGCCCTGCAAGCCTCAACTGAGGAGCGTCCTGCGACTCCCGGGCAGAAACAGAGCGACTGCCGGGAAGAGGGGGACACGGGATCTTCGCAGCCACCGCCACCGGGGATGGGAGGAAGCAAACAGCATTTAGGATCTGAAAAGAGCATATGTTCTGGGCTCTAGGTGCGTCAGAGGGAACACTCCCAATCCAGGACAGGGAAAAACATATGGGACTGTTCCTCCCCCACCCCCATACCCTTCTTGCTGTCCTCGGCAGGGACAGGTGTTGGGATTAGCATAGTAAAACCCTTTGGTGTCGGGAAGGGAGGGAGAGGGGAGAAGCCATGCTGATATCTCGCGCTGAAGGGATCTCTTTCACGAGGGAGTATGCGCCCGTATCGTTTAACGCCTCTCCCTCCCTCCGCACTCGAGGCGGGCAGGGACAGCTGCTGGAACTGGGGCTGGCGGGGGGAGCCGGGCCCAGGGATGGTCCCCACCACCCCAGCCTTGGGCAGGCGGGTTGCCCCCCTCAGCTGTTCCAGTCAAACTGGGGGCGGGGGGGACTAACTCTGCCACAGGGGATGGCGAGCAGTGGGGAGAAGGGAGCACGGCTGGGCAGGGCCAGTTGTCGTGCCTGTTTTAGGAAGCCTGTGCTCCCCGTTCCCAGGGAGGAATCCACTCCCTGACCGACGGGGACAGATGGGGAGGTGCCCGGACGGAGGCCGGCAGGCTCACCCTGCCGGCCCTGCATGCCGGACGCGTTACCGGACACCCGGGAGCCCGCTGCTGGTTCTGAGAAGACAGACCGTGGCCGGGGGGCTCCGGAGGGGCCCGACCTCCCCGAGCAAATCGCATGAGGTTTCACCCGTCGCCACGCCAAACTGCACCAGGTTGACGCCAGCCCAAAGCCGGGCTCCCAAAGAGTTAACAGCCCAAACCCACAAACGATTCCCACTGTCCTCCAAAGGAGAGCAGTGATAAAACCCCTCCCTCTGAGGTTTCAAAAATAAGCATGTTACAGTGATCAAACCCAAGAAGGGCTATCCAAATTCCTCCCCCTCCCATTTTAAATGCATACAGTGGGTTTTTTTGCATTTCTAATCTGTAACTTTTCTGTAGTGCTGCTGTGCACCACTAAACAGCTACCTCAGCCTAGCTCTGGGGTAGCTGCCTTTCCATCATTACTGATGATTTCCTCCCCCTCAGAAAGAGTTAAACTTAAGGTTTGTTTGTTTGTTTGTTTGTTTTTTTCCAAGAGGTTAAATATGTGGATCATTATCTAGCACAACCTGCATGCACCGCAGTTTGTAATTTAGGTAAGGGGTGCCTGATTCGCAGCCCTCTGGCCCACCCAGCCCAGCAGGACAGCTCTTGGCTCGTCCTCTGCTCCCACTGCCCTTTCTTTCTGCAACGCCTTGGAAAAGGACAGCTACAAGCTGGGTGAGTGGTTACGGCAGCTGCCGCCCACTCTCATCAGCTTTCGTAGGGCAACGGGGCCGCTTCTTCCTTACAAAAGGAGCGTGGCCAATTTGGGGAGTATAAAGCATGACATTTTCTACATCTAAAAAAAAATAAAATAAAATAAAAGTTTCTATAGCCATTGTTTCTGTGTGAAGATTTGCACAGAGACAGAAATTAATTGCCCATAAATGGGAAAGCAGCTATGCTTCTAGATCTCTTCACTGGGGAAAAAGGATGAGGCTCCCACAATGAACTTCCATCTCGTTCTGCCTTTGACCAGTTTATTTTGCCCCAGACCCAGACCAGCTTTCTGGAGCTCACATCATGCCTCCTCCTCCTCCTCACCTTCAGAGGGCTGCCTGGCCACCTCTCGGCACTCCCCCTGCAAGCCCCGCTTTGGGGCACAGATTGCATCTGGTTTCCTCTGAACAGCCAATGCTATTTTTTTTCCCTTCTCCTTTCTGTAACTACACGTTCAATAGGTGCCTGCCCTTCATTCTTTTGCATAGCTCGTTACTATGCACTCAGGCAATTTAGTATCTCCAATAACATCTTTTTATGAAAAGGCATTAATTTATAAAAACCCAAGTCTTTTCCACAGCCTGTTTTTGCTACTCCATATTGCTGCCCCAGGTTTTAAAACCAAATCCCCAACTAAGTTAAAACTCTTATATTTATTTCACAATTCAATTCTTGTCATTTCCAACCAGGCCTCAGGGGAATAAAACATTTCCAAATCCTAATGCAGATATCTTACTATCTATAAATAACCATCAAACGGGCAAAACAAAACAAGGAGGGGGAGCAGGGAGCATCACCTAAGTTCCCCTGTTGTTTTAACTACAGACCCAGATAGAACTGCCGTGCTTTAAAGTTTTTGATGCAGAGTTAAGTGCTCTGCCTTAACCAGCATTAAGATACTTGGGTGACACTTTGGTAACAACGCATCACGCCTCCTGTGTCCCACAGAAAACTAAATGACAAAAACTAGTTTTAAACTTGTATGTGCCAAGGTGGATACAGCAGGACTTTATTGACCAGTAATAAACTACTGAATTTTCTGCAAGGCTGGCCATAATGGCTGGTTTACCACTGCACATTGACTTACAACAAGTATTAGCCAAATATAAGATGGCGCTGCACTCCATAATTTTATTTTGAGATAAAGTCCCAACTACGTTACCATATAACCTGCTATGCACATGCATTTCCAGTAACACAAGTTAGGTAACTGTTATAAAATCACAGCCTTGTGCCTGCAAATGCTTACACATATGAATAATTCTAAAATTACATAAATATTAATACTGGAAAAGGCCTCCTGACACACAGAATGAGATCAATTGCTATCATACAACATCATCTACTCTTTTCATAAAATTTATCAAGCTACATCGTAGAACTGGGTTTTGCAGCTACGCTACCCCAGCCAGAAGGCTGCTCTAGAACATCACTCCCCAGCAGCTGGGATCTGCGTTCGTCTCCAGCTTAACGTTATTCCTGAGCAATTTCTGTTTGTTTTTTGTTCACGTGCCAGTACCGTCCTCTGGCTTAACCGTATTTTCTCCTTCCCTTACAATTAACCTCCTTGATGTATCCCCTCTCTACCCATCTAAACAAGCAGCTGTTCCAGTCTTTTCTCACATGACAGGCTTGCTATTCCCCAATCTCTAGAAGCCCTTTCTTGCACCTGATCTAGCCTGTGCTCATCTTTTTTTTTTTGTTTAAAGACATTACCCAGAGCAACATGGTTAGCTCCTAATCCGTTTCACAATTCCAGCACTAAACTGCATCTTCGCTAGCCTCATTAGTACTTTCCTCTGCAGCACATCACCAGATGCTGTAGGACCCATCTACAGTAAGACACACCATCCCGTTAGAAAAATGCATATCAAGTTAAGAAAATTTACTGTCTTAAAGACAGATGGGCTGATATGGCACAATCCTATTCTGATGGATTTGTGTTGCCTTTTATCTCATTTTTCATTTGTGTCCAAGCCTTTAATTACTATTTTTGTCTCAGATTTTGCATACAGCTGACGCTGGACCAACAGGTCTGTATTTACTCAGATCATCCCCCACCATCAATAGGGTTATTACTCTTCCTGTTCTCCAAATATCTGATAGCACTCCTGATTTGGTAGATCAAAAACTTGTATCAGATCTGCAACTACATGAACCAGTTCTTTCATTTTCAGGAACAGGTATCACTGTTCCCGAGGCAAGCCCGCTCCCCAGCCCAGCCTGCATGTACTAGGATCTTTCAGATGTCCAACGTGGTGGCTTCTACAGTAGGTTCATGCCCATTACCCATCCTGCCTTTGCTCCCATGATCAACTCTACCTCCAACAACAACAAAAGATTTGTTCGATTTTGTGATCACAACAAAAGTAACCTCACTAACTACACTATCCTCAACACTAAGTGGGGCCTCACATCTTCCTTTCTTCTCTCTAATTGTATTTTGAGAAATTGTCACCCATTTTCTTAGTAACATTTGCAAGGTTGGTAGTGCTCACTTTATCCCTACAGTTCCTGACTTTAAAGGCACAGCAGTCTCTGCTGATAAGTCCTTTTTCCATCCCTTGTAAATTCACTTTTTGCACCTAATAGCCTTTATAAGGTGATTATGCCTCTAGTTAGGCTGAAATTTCTTCTTACAAGCTTTTTCCCCTTTACTTGTATCATCAAGAATTTGTGTCCAAAGTACCTCTAACAAAACAAACAAACAAACAAAAACCCAAACCGCACACCTCTACATTCCAGTCTGAGTTTTCAATCCAGTTCACTGACTTCATTAAATATTTTGCTTCATGTATCAAAGCTTGTATCATGATCACCTCACCCAAAGGTGGGGACATGGAGGCTTCTAAACAGCTTGTTTTCCTGTAATAGTCAGAGCACCAATAATTTACTCACTGTCTCAACAACAGGTGATGATGCTACAGTGATGAAATCTTTTGATCCTATTATTATTAGCAGCATTTGTTCTCCAACCTATATCTGAGAAATTAAGATTTCTCATACTAATATTTATCTCTCTAATGGCACTGGGAATATCATCATTTCAAGAGTCTCGAGTTTGTATCCAGATCCAGTCCTATGAGGGATTACAGCAGACTCACAGTACTCCCTCCGGGACCTCTTTTACCATTCTTCCCCACAGCAATTTTGACCAGAAACAGATCCTGCGTTATCAGTATTAGTCTTCTTTCTTCTTTACAGTCCACTGCATACAATACAGCCTATCACTTTTTACATCTACCCTATCTGAACCACACACAATCTTGAATGCATGTTAAAGCCATGATTACTATTCTTGCAGATTGATATTATCCCTATAATATCCAGTTTCATGTTCTGCACCAGTAGCTCTGGTTCCTCTACTTGTTATTTCTAATGCCAGAAGCCTGAAAAAACAACCTGATATGTTTGTGCATTTACCGATCACACAGCTCCCAGCTCCCTCAACTAAGAGTATCACCCATCT